CCACACCATCCAGGCATACCCTCACCCTAGCCCACCCACCCAATCCACATGCTGGCCAGCGATTGGACGGCACCACGGGTACCTTACAGCGGTCCAGTGGTCCAGTGGTCCAGTGGGCAGAGTGGGTTCTGATGCCGCCGGGCGCGCCCCTGGTCTGGGCTCGAGATGTTCCTGTTCCTGGCTCTGCTTTTCGTGCTGGACCGTGAGTCCCCCCCCCCCACCCTAGCCAGAAAGGGCCCCGTCCATCGTCCATCCCATTGTCCATCCTGGGTCTTGGACGGACCATTCTCACGACACTCGGGCGGGACACGACCAGGGCAGCGTCCACTCACTGTCGGCCTCCATGCGACAAGGTGGATCCTTTTGGTTCATCGCTCGCGCCTCCCCCATCCTAAGCGTTTTGCCGGAGTCCCTCCCCCCCCCCCCCCCCATCGCGCTTTGGTTTCTCTACGTCGTTGTCCACCAACAGGAAGGACCAACAAGCGTCGGAAGGTACTCTAGGACGCCCAGAGCAGTCTATGACTGATGACGGTACCTTCCTTCCCTTTGAAAAAAAGGTACCTTGGTCGATGAAGACGGCTTACCACCCATCCCGGGTTCCTTCCGCATCCTCATTGGTCGCTCAACCCCTCAATCCTGTTGCGATAAATAGCATCACTCGTCGACAGCGGCCTGCCAAGTCGGGTCCCAAATGTGGTGTGGTGCCATCAACATTCGACGACGTGATTCGAGGAATCTGCATCATCCCTTCTTCCAACTCGGCTTCCCCCATGTGCTCGGGCTGGGGCTGAAGTTCACACTCTATCATCCCATCGTTAGCAGACAGATAGACAGAGTTTTGGACCTCAATTGGACCCTAGCAGCCCCCACCCGACTGACACTGACACCAAAACTGACACCAACACCGCTCTTCCTCTGATCATTTCCTCATCCTGTCTGCTTCACCACAAACTTCCTGGCTTGTCTGTCCTCCACCGGACACTGTCGCCGGACCCCTCCTCGATTCGCGTCCACTCCAAGCCGCCCACCTTCGTTCGCCGTGAACGGCAGGCGCGCAGTGCATGGTTTGCTGCGACGTCGAAGACCCATGTTGAGTGGCCAATGATGCTCGCGGCCGGGACTGGATCGCTGGATCATGTGGAACAACCCTCCGCAGGATAACCCCTGTTCTCAGAGGGGCCGAGAGGGGGGGCCAAGAGGGCAGACCAGACACAACAGAGCGGTGTCGCGCTGTACTGCTCGAGTACCTCGCGCCACATCACGACCAGGGACGCCGTCATGCACAGAGCCGCTGGACGACCCCACGTCTCAAACGGGGCTGCATCTCTGCGACAAGTCTCTCCAGTGTACATTTCGCCCGACAAGCCAAACAGAGTCGGCAGGGAAGACAACACAACACACGGAGGGACAACCCACTCCGTCTGCGAAAACGTCTGGAGAACAGTGTATGTCGGTCGCTTACAGCCAGTCTGGGCAGACGACGTGAGCAAATGGAATCGAGTCAAAGTCCGGATACCCCTGTCCAGGCCGGCTGGCGGCGTCCCTCGCCTTTTTTTTTTGGTTCGCGGGCCTTTGCTGACGCTTGTTGATTGTTGTCATGCAGGCCAATCCCTCGCACTGTCCTTGCAAGCTTAGGCTTCTGTACTTGTTCACGACGATCCAACATCCCTGTCGGCTTTTCTTCCTGTCCCACGACCACGAGCACCCGCCCATCCGCCCCTTCTCCTCCACTGTCCACCATTCGTCGCATGCTACTGTCTCAACCGTCAACGAACCCAGCCGGTCGTACTCTGGATCTCTGGGTACACCTACAGATGCCCCATGTCTCGCGGCCTCATGCGAGCCATTGTGGCTTCATCTGAGTCTGGTCGTGTGTCTGTCTTCACGGGTCGTTGGGAACGATCTCGGGCCAGTCGAACAGCCCAAACAGACTCAACAACTCTG